CTGCTGAATAATGGTTGTTATTGTGCAGGACTATTTTCTGTAAGTCTACCAGTAAGGAGTTCCTTTTCTACTGTGGAAGTGTAACTCAGGTATATTTATCCCATATAGTTCAACTAAAAATTTAATTAAATAATACTAGGTAAACCCATTTCTTCAATGATTCATTCATTCGGTTGATGTAGTCAGTGCAAAACCTATTCTCCACAAAAAAAAATTATTAGAGAAAGATAAAGCCCTTGATTTTTTTTTTCTACTGTTACCTATGTTTCATCATATTCTGAAGCTGAAGAGGACAGTAGCTACTATTTAGAGTACCTTAAGCCCAGTAAATCAGAATGACCTGTCTTAACAGTAATTCAGAGCCACACAGATTTTTATTACACAGTAGTTCATGCTTCTTTTCACATGGGTTATTCACATTGTGTATGGAGTGCAAAGCCATTTCTCTGCCCCTTGAAATGGAATACCCATACCTGAGAACTGCATGAATCTTTGCCAAATTATAATAAATATCTTCCAGGAAACAAAGGTTCCAGAAACAATAACAAGTAGTATCGTAAACAGACTAAGTGATGATTAGTTTCTGAAAGCTTTGTTTCTCACAGTGTTTAAGTATGAACTACAGATTAAGTTTTTCCCTTCAGCTTAACAACTTTTTTAGCTACCAGGCGATACAGATCAAGATAAAAAGGTAAGTCTACAATGTCCTCTTTGTCTCTGTAACAATCTAACAAAAGATGTGGATCAAGCAGCTGCCAATGATGAAGGCACTTAGCTTCATCAAATTCACCTGAATGTGGCCAATGCTTCAAGATGTCACAGCTGTGACAGAGAGAAATCATACAGAGACAGCAAATATGCCTCAATTCACTGGAAAAATAAGGTAAAAAATGGCAACATTTAGAGCTCCCCTACTCCATTCTTCCTCTCCATGATAGCAAGACATTGAGCATTTGGGCTCTAGTTGATCAGAGCCAGAAGCCAGAATATCTTCATAGCAAAACATAGCACTCTTTCATAACCACACAGAAGCCCACATAAGTTCGTTTTAATGCTTACCAGCCCCAAAATATTTTACCTTCATATGATTTTTTAGAGGATCCATAAGGTTAAAATGAATATTGCACTTTGGACAAGCTCGTGGAAAAGGTCCTCCATTTTTAATGATGCTTGATGCAGCATTTGTACCTGCAAAATTGAAAATATTTTAGGATCCAGAATTCACAAGCAGAACAATCAGTTTATTATTTATTGTTCTAACAAAACCACAGCATTACATCACAGCATCACTGAATCGTAGGGGCTGGAAGGGACCTCTGGGGATCATCTAGTCCAACCCCCTGCTAAAGCAGGTTCACCATATGAAAACTATTACAACTGACATAGCTGTAGTAATCATAAGCAAGGTTTCACAACCATATTTTAACTACATTTTCTTTTTTCCAAACTGAGTTTGAGTTTGTTCCATTTGATACAGACATATAAACAACTTTTACAAAATCTTAGCAACAAATAAGGAAACAATGGGAGGGGGTGAAGGTAGCATGACGGAGACAAAGCACTAATTCTGTGCACCACTTCCCGCTCTCCCCTCGGATAGGATGGATTTTTGATGTTTTTGTTTTAAGAACTTTAATTCTCAAAAGAACATGTAAAACTTGTTTTATGCCATGACCTGATGTTCATCACAATAGGGTTCAGATAAATGGTTTTGGAAAGGAATCTCATCATCTGGTTCTCAATGATGAGAATATTTCTCTCTGGACAGCTGGTGGAACCTAGGCCTATTCAAATATATCATTCCTGTTGAGCAAAGGTGGCTTTGGAGAACCCGGAGAATAAATCCTCTAAATAGTTACTCCCAGTAATGAAAGGAAATTATATTTCTCTTATCAACATAAAATTATTAATACCTTTTGAGAAAAAAAAAGAAAGCTTTGCATTAGCTTAAACTAATGACTAAACCCAGGCTTCCAGTTTTCTCCAAACTGCCAAAAAACATCAAAGCAAGAGCTACTACTCCAGATGAAGTTCTCTTGCATTCTCAAGTCATTCACAGATCTGAAGGACTCCATGCCGATTAAGTAGTTTAGAAGAAAAGGTTTAACACAGGAAGAGTTTTAGTAACATCTCAACTGTAGAGTCAACTGTACCCTGCAGGACTATGAAAAAATGTAATAAACACACAAATACATCCACCTTACAACAAGGGAATGAGTAAATGTATGAGTTGAGATAACCATGCCACAGTGTTATACATTTTTTAAACAAAAACAGCCTTGCACAGTCCATGAGGCTGACATGGATCAAACAGTATTTTCCCTTGAAAATAATGGTACTGCTAAGAATCATAATTCAGCAGAAAGTCCTTCACATGAGTGGATGGCAGTGCAAGCGATGTACTGTCAAGACAGTGCTGCAAGTCTTCACTATTACAGTTTGTGAAACATTTTGACATGTCACAGCTAAGTGCAAGCTGAGTTGGAAGAAAACGGGTTCTGCAGCAAGATCTCCTGTTCTACAGTGCTACAGCACTGGATTCCGTGACAGATTAGAAATTGCTATGCTAGCATGGGACAGCTTAAAACCAAACTCATAAAAATAAGGTTCTCAGTGAACATGATCTACTACTTTGTTACTGCATTTGGTAAGATCCTCCAGTTATCTTTTGCATATTACAGGCTGCAGGACAGTATCTGTTTTAGCCAACAAAGGGGAAAGGAAATTTTTTTGCTGAAATATTCCATGTTGTAGCCACTTCCTTCTGGTTGCTGGAGAAGAGTCTGATAGTAAACCAGCTGCAAACAAGACATGCAAAAAAACCCAAATATGAAATGATTCCAAACAACAGAATCACACTGTAGGTAGCTCCTCATGTTAATATTATAGGAGAGAGTATGTGGTTGGAAATATCTCAAAGTCAAGAATAAATCCTTGTCTAGTACAATCAGCTGGAAAGCAGCTTTTGGCTCAAGAGGAAAATGCACCTCATTATTAACACACTCCAACAGCTAGACTACCTGTCTTCTTGTAAGGAGGGAAAGGTCTTTCAAAGAACAACCTTTCTCTGAAACTTAAATCCCCCTCCTCCCTTCCCACTATTATTTTAAACTATATCAAAAACACTGCTGCAAAAGAAAGGGGGGAACTGCAAAACACACTTTGCAATCACTAGTCAAAGTACAGAATAATTTAGGTTGGGCCTGTGGAGGTGTTTTTGTCCAACCTCCCACTCATAGCAAGTCCAACCTTATTAGGATGCTCAGAGCCATGTCCAGACTTCTGGGTATCTCCAAGGATGGAGATTACACAATCTGAGTCCTTGCTGCCTTGCTTGACATTCCTACAATGATTTTTTTCCCCCTTCTTTTTATCTAATCAGAATTAGTTGATAAATTCAGCAGTCATAGAATTCTTTCAATCTTGATTTTCTGGCTGGTGGTTTTCTAAAGTTTTAAATATCTATTCAGTTTATGACATTGAAAATCTGAACTAAGAGTATGAGGTCAGGAGCATTTATTTCGATCATCTGTCTTCAGTCACTAAACTTAATAATCATTGCTTTACAGAATTCAAACATACCTACTAAACAATAAAGGTCTAAAATTTGACTAGGTAATAACCTGGGGTGTATTAATTTGTAAAGGTATATAAATCCTTGCACAAGTTTTTCTTATTTTAAGGCATGTGAACAGTTACTGATTTACATTGTCTTAATAGCATCAATACTGATCAACTTAAACATTGTAAGAGCACTAGCTTTTTTCCATGAGACAGATGCAGGGACTGACAGCTAGACAATTTGATCTACCCTACCTTTGAAGGTACATTTTGTGGTGGTGTTCTGTTGGAGAGTTAACTGCAGGTGAAACACCTGAATTGCTTCCAGCACCAGCCTCATTAGGCTTGGCCTTTTTTGGAGTTACAGTGTTGCCTTCAGAAATAGCAGGATGCTTAGATACAAAACCACTCTCATTCAGACTTACAGTGGTTTAAATTAAAGAACCTCGGATTTTTTCCATAGTACATTACAAATGTATTACTGATGCCCACACTTTAAAGGATAGACAAGTCTACATAAAGCAGCTAAAATTTCCCTAAAATAATAAGCCATACAGAAGGTAAGAAAACAATATCCTACTTAGACTGAATATTCTAAGTCCAGTGGAGAAGGATAAGGTAAACGCGAAGAGATAGAGCCCCATCCCTGAAACCCAGTAAATATGACTACCTGAATTTGTTTGGCCTACCTTTCACATCTTTACCCACACTAATCTGAGAACAATGCGAGTCCACAGCAATAATGTTAAGCTAAGCAGCTAGTTTCTGCAATGCCCACTATTTGGAACCACCTCTGCCTTTCTGATGAAAAACATCTCTTTTTCTGGTCCTATGTTAATGCTGGTTTCATTTGTTATTTAACTCTGTAAAACGTTTGAGACTACAGTTTGTATGCAAAATGAAAACAGCGTTGTACGTTTAATGACCAATCACTGCACACCTATTTGCTCTCTTCTGAAAGAAGATCTGATTCATTTACTGTTTGCAGTATTTCTCTAAAAAAGAAAATCACTAAAAAATAACTCCGAAATTCAGAGGTTTGATGCCTGATTAACATGCTCATCAATACTGGGCTCCATCTTGCCCTGAAACCCATGTCTCTGTCACTATAAGATTACCCTTGATGATGTAATCTCAATACAGAGATCAGTACTCAAGGAGATTTGAAAAAGCACAGCTACTTGCCAAGAAGTCTGAAGTATCAGCACAGGCCTTGTAAAACTCCCACAATCACACACTGCAAATAGCCTTAAGCTATCATAAACTATGGTAAGGACCGGACTTCAGTTCTGGACACAATGACTTGAACTAAGGACATTCTTGTATATTCCCCTCCCAATGGTCTAGCTGCTCCAGTGATCTCTCGGGGTGTAGCAAGAAACTGAATTAGTATCTTTAAAAGTCTTCTCAAACATAGATAATTTGTGTCACAAAATTATCCAAACTTCTTCTGAGAAGAAACAAAACAACCCTCTCCCACCCCCAAGGTGTGTTTACTCAGTGGTAACTATCTAGACCTAGCAAACAGCCTGGATAGTCTCTCCATTAAATCCACAGAGGCAAAGCATCCCAGCAGGGAATGCTGATATTTGAGCATCTTGGAGAATTTACCACATTACGCCTCACACACGGGAAAACATAATTCACTTGTTATATACGTGTTTAATCATCCTAACATTCTCCTTTGTAGCACATCTTTCCTTCTTTCTGACATAAATGAACACATTAAGCTCAAATGTCTCACTCCATGCATTGTTTGCCTAAGGTAATTAACACATGTACAAAATAAACAGGTTATTCATTAGATACTACGACTTACTAGGGTTTTTAAATTTACTTATACCTGCACAGTTAGGTATACAAGCTGGTTACATTGACACACGTGTCTTGATCAGCAAAGGCTTCCATACAGCTGGTATGATGAGCATTCTTCTGTATCACTGAGGCTATTTGAGCATCAGGCCACCAACCTGATATTTTATATTTATATATTTAATAATATGTAGTTGTGTAATCAGGGCCACAGAAAAGACAGAAGGTCTAACTGATTTCACAAGAATCTTCAGTAAAGTATCTTATTTTACTGTAGAAAACCTGATTTGGAAAAAAGGCCTATTTTTACATATTCAAAAAATTGTTAATAATTTCAATTAAAAAAAGCTTGACAAATCTGTGACAAAAAACTTAGAAGTCTATTTTATATGTTTATAAAGGTGAGCATTCTTAACTCAGTTTATACAACTGGTCTAATAAAATCCCTTTCAGAAGAGTTATAATAATACTAGGAGAATATACACAGGTTTGCATTTGAAATCTGTTCACTTAAAAAAAAATTAAAGCCTATTTTGAAAAATAATCAAACCAATTCCAAGTTCTATTTAATATCTAGTTGGTATAAATCAGATAGATGAAAAGAGGAATCAAAGTGCCTCTCTGAATTGGTATGTGGACACAAGAATTCCTTGGATCACACAGCTGAAACTGCCAGGAACTCTGGGTACTCAAGAGAGCAGAGAAAAGCAGCAGCCAAACAATTCTTGTTTGGTTTTCAGGATGCTCAGAAGTCTATTACCTTCACTTCCTGTTATTAGTAAATACATTTGTAAATATTTTGTAGCTATTACAGAACAGTCAGCTATATTCATACAGAGTATTGTGCGCAATATCTAAAGTGATTGCAAGAAAAAGCAAAATATATTGGATGCAGTATCACCTTGCCGACAGCTTTCTAAACACACATTACAACACTGCTGTAAAATTGTTACCACTGTTACATGCACCTGTGCTGGCTGGACCTGATTTTATGAATGATAGCAAAAGACATTAGAAATGGTAATCTATGACACAAGCATCAACTGTACTGCGGTAACAGTCAGATCAAATTAACAGAATAGTGACACGAAAGCCAAATTTCTTCAGGTCTCTAGTGCATTGTCCCTCACCAACATCTCCCATTAATCTAGTGCTATGAATGCACATATACAGTCCAGTTGACTCCTAAATACCACAGAACTGTTCTTCTATTGGTTATGGCATTTTCTGGTTCCTCCAAGTGGGTACAATTTGTGGGAGAATGATCACAAAATAGTCTCAGAAAGCAAGCTACAGTTTTACATACATCCCCAGAGCCCATCCAACCTGCAGATAAGAGTTATCAATGCTGTTTAACTTCACATCACCACCTGTTTTCGAAGCCTAACCAGCCTTAATGGCTGGGTGGTGGTGTTTCTCCATGGCAGCCCCGTTTTCTTGCCAGCAGCTTTAAGGAAGCAGCCACGAATACCAAAAAAAAAAAAAAAAAAAATTATCCTGCAGAGTATTACAGGCCAGTTCCCAAAAGGATTCTGCTTTTAAATACTATATTCCAGAACATCTTGTGCCCATAGTGCTGCACATGAATTAGAAGAAGCATAGCACCACAGGCAAGTAGCCATCAGCATATATGAACAATACGAACGTAAGCATGTTATGCGATGTCACCATGCAAGCCAAACCACAGAATATGCAGACACTTCCTTGTTGTGAAATGAAATGTATCTTAAATTTGTCTTCTATGTCAAAGATACTTGTGTTTCAACCCATAATTACAAACCTTTTCCTTTAATTCCCAAATCCGATTACCATCTCACATAAATAAACATAGACTTAAGTATGATATATCAAAGACACTTTGACTTACAATCCTTGACACATTTAAGTATTTCGTTTTTCTCGATAATAGACTAATACAAATAATTTTCAAGTATGCGAGCAGGTCTCCTAAATTAAAAAAAAAAACAAACCACAACCCACAAACAATTAAACTTTAATACTTTTTCCTTGGAGAAGAAGGGCTAGAATACTAAACCTTTTGCAAGACATAACACCTTTGCTTACTTTACAAAAAGCTATTTAACCCAGTAATACAAGAATGAGATCAAACACTAGTTGGAAACATGCAAGGAAATGCACTATCAACCCTTCATTGATAAGTACCTCGAGTGAACACCTAAACTAGAGAAGCAAAATCATCAGATCAAGCGGAATAAACTAGCAATCATTCTGTCCTACATCACTTGTTAGTATGACTGGTTAGGCCATTGATTGTACATAACCTGTTACCTCATGGTGGAATCAGAAGTGATTGCCATCTGTAACTTCTAGACTGAATGACAGGATTGTGGTCAATTATTACAAAAGTGCAATCCCTCACAAAAGACCAGGGAAGGCCCAAACTATAACCTGTTTAAGATTGAATACACTGCATGCTTCAAATCTACTTCATTTACTGTGCCACAAAAAAGTGCCTTTTTTTTGTTTTTAAGTAGGTTAAACAGTTTCTGCTGAAACGCAGCCCCTCTCTTGCTAACAGTCACTCCTATTCACGCCAGTCAGTGCTGGAGATACTGAAAATGAACCTTTCTCGGTCAAAAAAATTGCAGTGGATCTGGCAACACTTTATTCATCTAAATGAGCATTATAAGATGACATCAGTTGATATTACAAGTCAGTCTAATATGCTGAAAAGCAAAGTCTGATAATACCAGGCTCCAAAGTTTATTTCATTAAATGTTACACAGTGTACAGGGGGAAGAAAAAAGTAGCTATACTATGTTCTAAAAATCCTATTTGAAGCTATAACCCAAAGATCTGCACTACAGTTAAATGACATCAGTCTTTCTTTCTCTTAACTACTACAGTTATACCCACCTGTTACATTCACTGCTGGCCCAGTCTGGTACTGTGGAACTCCCGAGTTCTGTCTCACACCAAACAGTATACCAGATGTATTATCTGGTGCAGCTGGTGGAGAATCCATAATATAATCCTAATAAGATATTTTCAAGAGGGAAAAGAAATTTGAGGTTTAACATTTTTTTACTTGCAGGCTTCAACGTGTTTATTTTAAAAACATGTGATTGCTTAAAAGTACTCACAAGTACTCAGCTGTAAATCAACTTAACTACAATCTCCCCAAAATAGTTTCTTTTGACATTTTGTTAAGTTTGCAACCCTTATCAGTGGCTGTTAATTTATTCATCATGTTTATCAGAATACGAACAACTAAGATCTGGGAAAGTCCACTTTATGAAATCTTTCTAAATCTGTTTAAATTGCTAATTGTAACCACTTTTGTTCAAAAGTCTGATGATGTTTCAAATTATACTTGAATTGTTTTTCAAAAAACACCACTATTTTCTTTCTTCAACCCAAACTCAGGCATTTGCCTGTTACTCTTGCCTAACAGCTCGCTGCATTTGTAAAGATCACAAGACACAAGTCAAAAGTAGCACAAACTTGCAGCAAGCAGAAGCTTCTCAAAGCAAGATGATATTAAATAAATCAAATTCTACGAAGTCGTCAAGCTTTCATTAAAGTAAAAGTGTATCTATAGCATGTCGACTGGGAATGGCGCTCATTCATGGCATCACTAGCAGTTTTTTTCTTTTACGTACAGTAATTTCATAAAGACTTCTGGAAATAATACAGTTAAAGCCTTTTTTCAAAGCACATCTGACCTAAAAGTTGGTTCATGTTTCTTAGCTCCTCGTTATTTGAGCATCTCCAAGTACAAGTACCCTCTTACCCTTCAATTTAAAAGGTTTGCTTTTTATTACTACATATAACCTATAGAAATGAAACAGTCTACATTTCTTGGCTGCAACACTGAAAACTTAAAATCAAACACCTTCACTGATCACTCAATAGGTGACATTTGGAAAGAAACATGAAATTTACTTCTCTTTACAGATATTCAGGATCAGGGGGTGGGGTAGGAAAAACACTCCAAGATTCATCAATACTGCTCACATCTTATTAGGCCATTCATCCTAACACAATCTGAAACATGAAATATTTTCAGGAATAACAATAAGGAGTTAAGAAAAAACTGAGTGCGGTTTAATTTCAGCATTAAGGTAGGAATGGCCAAATACTGGCACTTGATCTTTCTACTCTGAAGTAATTAAATTGGTTACACTTCATCAAGCTGTACCGTGAAACAAAGAATTTGACAAAAATAGCTCAATTTTCCTCAAAATAATAATGAAAAAAAAATCACCCAACACACATACACAGATTTTATCATCCGTGTATCCATGAGACAAAGGCCAAAATACTTTTTGCTGTAAAGATCAATCTCACAAAATGAATCCCATTCACAACTCTGCTACTTAGTTGAAAACATCCTGTGGAAGTTACCACATCTTTACCTACCACCATGTTGACTAAACATGATGGCAAGAAGTCTAAAGAAGTGCAGAAGTACACATACAATTATGTTAATCAATTTTCTGCCTCCTAAGTACCACAAAAGATCTGAACAGAAAGGAAGATGCTTCTACCCATCTTGCCTTTTTGTTGCACATTTCTTAAATGAAGACCCTGCAGAACCTGAAGGATAGTGAAAAGCCGTTCTTCTGGTCAGTTAAACAAATTAAACACCGATGTTCCAGAGTAGTTGTGCAAACAGTGACTAAATTTCTCTGCTGTTTGTTACTTGTAACAGCTACATGAGCTGCAGTGACAACAGAGCAGGAGTTACTGTAGCCACAACGGTTTCAGACTAGCCAGTGAAATTACATCAAAGCAGCTTCGCCTGCAAACCCCCCTCCAAGCACAACTGATGCTCGGGTGGCAGGCCTCTGCGGGCTCTTAACGTGCAGGACCACGCATACCACCTACATTTGACATCTGAACCTCACAACACAATTCTTCCCTTACTACTCTGTGGTTTGCTTGGTTTTAAGTGCTGCTAAAATTGTAACTTTCTTCAAAATAATAGTGTAAGTATTTTGATGGCATATGTACATCTCCCTACTATATACTAAACATATCTGGCAAGCAAAAAAGTAAAAACAGACATCCTGGAACAATTCCAAAGTCTCATAATTTTCAAAATGTCCTTTTCTGTTTACAATTATTCTTTTCATGCAGTGTGGCTCTGTCATTTTACATACAGAAAAAACAGTATCTTCCCATGCTTTAGAAAGCAAAAACATTTTAAAGAAAACAAACAAAACAGCTTTACAACATCAGGGGTAGGGTGGGGAAGAAATCAATCCAACATGTACAGGTGCTCTCATATGCAGCAAGGCAAAACCCAACACCTCTACAACTTAAGTTCCTAAGGCTCAAGTGAAGAAAAATAATCCACCACCACTCTCGGTTTTCCAAGAGACTAGTGAAGAAAATACTGGGTTCGTACTGTGCATCCTAGATTTCCTAACTGTGGAAACCAACATGCTAACGGGTAACCAAACCCACACAGAGAAATTACAAAGCATGGTTTCGAACCTTTGCTCTCCCAAAAGTAACTAGGAACAACTGGAACTTGAATCACACTCAGACTGAGGAAAGTGCCTGTTAAGCAGGTGAAAGATACGGACACAATTGGCTGGGGCTTACTGGAGAGCATTCTGAAAGATGAATTATAGAAAATCTTCACCAGTAAGAACAATTTTTCTTAAAGAGAATAGCCCTATGCTATCATATACAACAGCAGTAGCTCTGAATGAATTAGAATTGCTGTAAACAGTATGACTGAAGTAAAATTTAACTCAATTTCTGGAACCACATTAACATAGTGCAGTATCAAAACCACAAAAACTAGACTTTTACAGGAAGTCAGTGAATAAAAGCTGTGATTGGAACGGGATGTTTCAATGATAAAACTGGAATATCAACCATTGACAGAGGGTAAATTATAGACCTACATGTTATGAAATTGAGGAAATGTGTTGGTGATCAAAAGCAATCAGTTCCCACAGAAAAAACTTTGATATCCTGAGATTAAAAAATATTGCACCATATTACGAATGCAAAGGCACTCTAAAGCGCGTTCAGCTAAAAACGGAGTCCTGCCACAGTGTCTAGTCACACTTCAGTCATCTTCACATCATAATATTTTAACTTCAAAGGTAAGTTTCAATATCTGGAAGCTGAAGATCCTAGCATCAATCACTTCCCAGAAAAACTTATTTGAAGCCCTTGTCACTTAGGAAGAATCAAGTGGGGAAGAAACAGAAAATACATGAACGAAAATGTCACAGAAAGCCTGTGGCAGAAAATCATCAATATAAAACAGTAGTCTCAAGTGAAATAAAGACTAGATAAGGGGGGGGTGTGTGTACCCCAAAAACCTAAGGAGCTCTTGAATGAAGACAACTCAAACCAAGGAAATACCAAAATACAGGTAGTACATACATGACACTAAGAACAGTAAATGACATAATGTGGCAGGAGTGATATTAAAAGTCACAGCACTTTGCCCAAGAAGCTGAACTGTAGCACCTCCGTAAAAAAACCACAAAAACCAGCACACTAAACAAGCCTCTTTCCCCATAAAAAGTATAACATAATCAAGTGGCAGGAACAACACAAAACAACAAATTATTCTAGATAAGGCTGAAATTGGAAATACAATTCTGAGTCAAGAAAATTTAAGTTGAAGAGATGGAAGAGTCACTTTCAGCATGTCTTAAGCAAGGAAAAAAACCAATAAAAATATTTCTAAAGGTATTCAAGAATTTCTTAACTTCCACAGAATAGGATGCTACATTTAGGATAACTTGAAAAAATTAAGAGCTCATGAAAGCCATGATCAAAGTGTCAACACTGTGAAGAAACCATATGACAATTTCAACAGTGGAAGTTTTAAGAGACCACAGAACGTGTATGCACTGGATATCCCAGAAAAGGAAGCATTGGTGAGGCCGCACCTGGAGTACTGTGTTCAGTTCTGGGACCCTCACTACAAGAAGGACACAGAGTTGCTGGAACATGTCCAGAGAAGGGCAACGAGGCTGGTCAGGGGTCTAGAGAACCAGTCTTACAAGGAGAAGAGCTGGGGCTGTTTAGTCTGGAGAAGAGGAGGCTGAGGGGAGACGTTATTGCTCTCTAAACTACCTGAAAGGATGTTGTAGTGAGGCAGGTGTTGGTCTCTTCTCCCAAGTAACTAGCGATCAGACAAGAAGCAATGGCCTCAAGTTGTGTCAGGGGAGGTTTAGATTAGATATTAGGAAAAATTTTGTTACTGAAAAAGTGGTGAGACATTGGAACAGGCTGCCCAAGGAGGTGGTGGAGTCCCCATCCCTGGAGGTGTTTAAAAAACGTGTAGATGTGGCACTTCAGGTTATGGTTTAGTAGGCATGGTGGTGTTGGGTAGATGGTTGGACTTCACAATCTTAGAGGTCTGTTCCAACCTATGATTCTATGATTACTTTCTAAAGCACGTCAGTAACTTGGAATAGACAGAACTGACTAATACATGGTTAGATGTCCTTTTCCATTTCATGTACCTTCAAAGTCAGATTTCAGGATGGAAATTCTTCAAATAGGTATTTCTCTGCCCTGCCAGTGAAGAACAACAACCTGCAGATTCTGGCAAAGTAAGACTATAAAACTTAATTAAAGTCTCATCTGTGCCATTTCTGCTGAAAGTAAACTCGATAAATGAGAAAGAACTCTCACAAAAAGAAGTGCTGTGTGCACAGTGTCTTTAAAGGAAATCACTGTGTTGACAAGTTACATCCAGCTTACATATACCTTTTGAAGAAGTTCACCTTTCCTAGCTCTGTTTACTCTAAGGTTTTCTAATAAAAACAATGTAGAGGATGCTTACAGCTTTATTGATTAAAACAAAAACATGAGCATGTATGTGCAAGGGAAGTAAAGGAGGGGGCTTTCTTTTGCAAGACATTGTAGCACTCCTTTGAAAGATTTAATAAAGCCTACTATGTCATAAGCAAACATTTATAAAAATAAAATTCAAAGACTTGAAATACATGTATATATCATGTGAAGTAGCAGACCTTTCTGTATTAATCTGTCCTGCTTTGGAAAGACAAATTTAAGAGGACTCCAGAGGCAACCTAGATATCTGGACTTTTGATTTTATCAATTTTTAGATCTTCTTAGATACAGTGACTTAGCTAACCCACCTCACTAGACATGTCCACAATTTCTTTATGCAAACTACCAATCAATCGCTGAAAACTCAAAATTGGAAAGCAGTAGCTCTTTCCCAACAAATCTGCCAGAGACTCTGCTAACCAGCTGACAGGCAATGATTACACCGCATTGTTTTTCTTAACATACAACCCCCCATCGGCAATGATATAGCCACAAGTCTTGAAGAACACCACCCAATTCTCACGTTTTAATAGCCTTCTTAACTATGTTCATTCATACTGATTTCCCCTGCTCAGCAAATGCATAATACATTAGGCTGCGTGATTTTTATTTATACCAAAAGACTGACACCTGGCACAACCGTGGGTGTGTATATTTGCACGGATGGTGGAGACGGTGCCTACTGTCAGGGTTTATTATAACCTGGCAGTAGTAGCTAATATTATAGGCACACCGTATAAACAGTTTCAGCTTAAATTATTTTCAATAAAGGTATTGCATCATAGTTTACCTTATACAAATATGAAATTTTAATCTTCATTCTTTCTCTCTCACAAATGTGCAACAGCTAAAGCAATAAAAACAGCATCTAATTTGACTCCCTGTAGTTATCTTTCTGGGGTTCTGTGGCAATCCAAGAAGATCCATGATACATGATCCAGGTGCTAAACTCCCTTGGGCTCTTCAAATGAACAAGTATGTTGCCAAACTGTTTCATCTACTGACCCTGCAACTTTCGGTTGCTTAAGTCCTCCTTACCGTACTACTGCTTCGCTACAACTGCCATGTGAACTAAAAAAGCAAAAATACCTAAGTAGCTTCCACTTCAGCATTCTCTTAAGAAGCAAAAATCCCAAGAGAGGCACTGTAAATATCAGGTGGTAAAACCACAAAGTTACTTTAAACACCAAATGCAAGCTATTTAAAAAAATAAATTAATTTATCAATACGAAGTATCCATCTCTGAGCAGTTTGTAAAATTTTGAGAACAAGAATTTCCATCATTTCTCCATACAACATAAACAAAATAACCTAAACAGTACTGATCTGTCTTATGCCTAAGACTTTCATTTAATGTAATTCCAGCATTACTAAATCTATCACCTTTGAGTCTTGCAAATAGTATTTTCAAATGTGTATTATAATTCACCAGTGCAAGGTTATGGTCCTAGAACCTTTACAGTTTCTTTAATGCTAGTCTATAATCTAGCCTAGGTCTTCAAATTACTAGACTGAGTTGGTACGTTCCTCATTAACTTATTCAGAAGTAATTGTACCTGAGTATTGTACAGTTTAAGGAAATAAAAATTTACCTGATTGAGTATTACAGGCTCTGGTGTTACAGTAGTCACTGGCCTGGATACCGGTTGAGCCACTACAGGAACCGCGATATTTCTTGTTACTGGCTGCGTCGTCACTGGAACGGTTACAGGTCTGCTAACAGGCTGCGATACTCCAGAACTTGACCCAGACATCTGAAGTGTTTGTGAAGTTCCTGAAACATTCACTGGTATAGACAATGGCTGAACTGCTACAGAGCTAGCTGTAGGTCTGGATACAGACTGAAAGACTGATGAAACAGGCATGGCACTGGGGCTGGAGGCAGGTGTCGCATAATGGTGACTGTCAGGCTTGAAAGTAGTAACTGTACCTGTTGCAAAGGATTCCAAAGTTATCTTTATATAATTTTTCAGTCAGACGTTTCATAAGTGTTCTGGATTTTTTGTTTTAATTACCATATTAGGACAATAAAGTACCTCTACTGGGTGCACCATTCTGTATCCCCCTTCGTGATGAGCTGAGGTTGACTCTGTTCAATATATCTGTCAAAAGTTACATTTATCTTAATTGCAGTTAAATTAATAGCTTAATTGTTTTTCAAATTAAAAGTAGCATCCATACTAATTAAGCCAATTAGGACTTGACTTATAAATTAGAATATTATTTCTAACATAAATACCTGGCAAAACAAAGGGTCATTTGTACAAATATGGGTATGTTCTTCTACTCCCCTTCTCTTAGGTTAAGCTAGTTCACCTAAGAATCTCAGTTTTTATTTTCTTGGAGACAGATAAAGACACAAATAAGAGCACAAACAAAAAAAAGAACATTACATAAATATTTAGTTTTGCTGATTACAATGCATTTATTCACTTCTGTTTCTCATATACATAATAAGTTCCCCAACTACTTCAACTGCTCTACAGTAAAGTAAGCACTTTCTCTAAACCAGTAACCACACAATTTGCTTCTTTGTTACAGGAAAATATAGCACTTGCAAACTTGTTTTTAGACTTCATGATCTCTATTATCCAACATGAAAGAAAAATCAACAGACCAGCAGTCAAAGGTGTTGTGCTGGAATTGCTGTACGAGAGTCATTTTCTTACATGTCCTACATGGTAGTGTACAGTCAGAGTTCTAGCTCATCAGAAACACATGGAATTTCTTAAATTTGATGTTTACTCCCTAACTAATGTCACCAATATTCCCTGACTTTTTATGTCTTAGTCTGGGGTTTCTGATCATTCCATGATGTTACAAAAATAATCATCCAGTCAAAATACTTTTCTACCACCAGATCCTCAATTCCACTAGTGTTGCTGTAGTTTCTTGCTTTGACATGTGAAAATACGCATACGAAATTAGATTGATCCTCCAATGTCTAACCAACAAGATCTAAAGTACCTTCTCAAACCAGGGTCAAATTACAACAGGTTCTCAAAACAGCAGATCTTAGAGAATAGAATCTTAAACAAATTGTGTTTAATAACCTTAAGGCTGTTTCCACCAGCAATGGTTCATTAGTATGCACTACTCAGGTTGATTAAAATAAACAACTAATAGCAGTAGAGCTCAGAAGACCACAGCTTTCAACCTGTCATCTGTATTAAGATCATACTAATAAAAAAACCCAGCTGCAATCAACCGATCCAAACAGGTATGCATTTTTCAAGATATGAGGACATTTTGTCCTGTAATAGTAATTAATACTATATTTACTTCAACACAACACTATCTATGAGCAAGGATTAATTTAATTCAGGATTTAGCTGACCACATACTTTTGTTTGTTAATAAATCTACACTTCACATTTTAATTCCAGAGTGAAACGAAACTTAAGCCTTCATTTGCCTACAAAAAACAAGCTATCCTAAAAGTTATATCTCACAAAGCATATTCAGATAGTCTGATGCACACATAACTCTCATCGTAAAACACAAAGGTAGATTTTACTGTACTTAAAAAGAACATTTCAGGAAGACAGTGATTTTAGATTACAAAATAGATTTACATGACTCCACTCCTTCATCAAAGACTTGATGTGTCCTTTCCCCTCCCACATCAAAGTGTTATTTGTTCTGTTTAGGTAAAAAAGCACTTAAGTATAAGAAAGCAGAACAACATTTTAAAGTAGCAACAAATTAGAGGTTTGTATCGTTATGAAAAAGGAAGCAAGAAAAATGAGCAATAACTAGGAAAAATGAGCAGCTGCAGGAAATGGTAAAGGGAACAAAGTGTGAATTACTTTTTATCTCAGTAAGAATTAATCCTCCAGTATGTCAGAAGCACTTTATTATACATGACACTGTGCCAGCAGGTCAAAGTCGTGTTTTTAACTATTTCCTTCAAGTTTTCCACACCAGCCTGTACTAAAACTGATAATTACATTGTCAGGAAAAGGTTAAAAAAAAATGCTATGTATTGCAGAAAATATTCCTTTCAGAAAAATTAAGAACTACATGCAAATCTCCATTTGTCATCTAATTTTTCATCTGATCAGACAGGAATTCTCTCAGATAAAAACTAAACAACAGTGATAAGCAAAGTTGAGTTCACTGAGTCTTGCCTGTCACCAAGAACAAACTGAAGCCTGACTACTGCCAGGCAGTACTACTTACAAGCCAGAGAAGAACTGAGGTCATTCTTCCATAGCTGTTTTTGATAGTGAAGTAGAAGATTATAAAGAGAAAAGTTGGGGAAAGGGAAGGAAAAGAGATAAAGTAAAAAGTTACACCATAAGTGATTTTACTTATGTCAAGGACCAAGTATGGACAGCACTAGAATAAGATGCATACATTGTAAGTCTGTATCTTTTACCAAAGTTCTTGAAGTCGGTGAATCATATCAAAATCACCTGAGCTATTTCTATCCTTTATAACTACAAAAAAAAATCTTGAGACTACAACAACCGCAATGAAGCTTTACATATTTGTTGTTCCAACATATGCCTTAATAGTTTTTCTATGCCATGACCTACTGCCAATGACCAAAAACAATCCAGAGGTCTCTGGATCTTCCAGAAAACAGTGAAGGTAATTTTCAGTCCTTCTAGAAGTTTGTAACTGCAGAAGACTTTTTAGAGTAATTTAAAAATACTGATAAAATTTTCAAGAGGATCTAAGAGTATTTTTTAAATATTCAACAAGATTAACCCTTACGAACTATTTTCAGGTGTGAGAATTTTAACACCAGCTTCAGTATTTCTAATATTTAAAAGACAAATTTTTCACTTCTTTAAGCTAGTGTAAGCAACATTACACTGACTATCCCAGTGAGTAACAAAGTAAAACGGAGTTAAGATGCGAGATGAAAGTACTGCGAACTAAAATGACTCAACAGCTAACAGCAGCTCCAAAGTCCATGCAGCAGACTATGAGAGACAACCTAGTTTAACATTTTTTCCTCACGATTCTTCACTGCAAATTATACATCTTCAAAAAATGACTATGGAAATCTTGGATACAAGCATAGCAGAGAAGAGGCAGAAACTGAAAGCACATAAACCTCACCAGTCCAAGACCTGTGTATTCGATAGCTAGAGAAACCTTAGGTCAAACCTCGTAACAACTGTCTACAAGATGGTCTCAATCAGAAACTTTCAATACTAAAATTAATTTAAGTAACAAAAATAATCTTCTCCTTTACTTACCTGCGAAAGCCCAAGCACAGCACAAACATGGAATCCTGACACATCTGTTGTCATCACAACCACCTAACCTCACTCCCTGCACTGCCTGGATGAAAAAAACTCTTTATTTTACAGGGGATGAATGAATTTATCAATAAAATCCTCTTATTTAACAGAGACTTCTACTATTTTCACATTAATCACTTTTCCTGATTGTGCTTATATTATAGATGCTTACGACAGTTAACTTGGTTTTGTCAGAGTGATGTCCACCCACTCAGACTGTCTACCAACACACGAAATGTGGGGTGCAGAAAAAAAAGGGCAGTAACACAAAGACTTCAATTCACGCATATTACTTCAGTAGGGAGACACTTCCAAGTATCTAACTAAATATCAACTATATCAAGAGATCACAGAATTGTAGGAGCTGGAAGGGACCTCTGGGGATCATCTAGTCCAACCCCCTGCCAAAGCAGGGTCACCTAGAGCAGCCTGCACAGGACCACATCCAGGCGGGTTTTGAATATCTCCAGAGAATTGCATGCATGGTTTCAGCATTGCATATATTGGATTTTTAACCATATTGTTAATGCTAAAACCTTCAAACATCCTTTTTTTGACTTCAGAGAGTAAAGGTTAGAGGTAGACAGAGCTATGCATAACCCAGGCTTTAGGACAGAATTTCTTAAGAATTCCAAACCTTGGTATGACAGCAAACTACAGAACAGGTTTAAGATGTAGAAGTTCTTAAGTCTTACTGTTAAAAAACAAAATCTGTATTTTCAAAGTGAGTTTGAAGTTTTACACTTTCAAATATATGTTATAAGTTATAGAAAATGTTATCTTACATGTACCAGCTGGCTTCGAGCTTGAGATTTCCCCAACAAAGATTGGCTCGTCATCATCATCATCCTCCTCCACTTCTTTCACTCTCTTTTGCCATGGTTCTAGCTCCTCCTCTTCACATTCCATAAATAATTCTGCCATCTTGAGACTAGACAGTAAAAAACAAACACACACACCAAAACATTTAGTACTTTCATGAAACAAGTATTTCACTGTTCAGTAAAGATTACTGCACTTGATGATAATTCCTACAGAACCATCTTCCTTCTCCCCTGTCATATTCAATACAGGTTGAACCTGATCTGATGTAGATCTTCAAACAACAAAACAGACATCACCTTTCTGACAATTATTTGAATTCTCATCTTTGCTATTAAAGATATCCACCAGTAACTATCAGATGAAGCCTCTGACACCATTGTGAAAGGTATCTTTTAAAAAATACTCCTATTACAGGCAAGTGATTCACAAGAAATGTGAAGACCCTACTTTGAAGCACATAATATATCTGGCACTACTGAAACACTAGTTACAGCTTTATTCTCTTTGCATCTATAAAAACTCAAACCAAACAACCCCCCCCCAATCCACAACCTACCACAGCCCCACAAATTTTGTAAGATTTTGCCAGGGCTTCACATATAGTCACATTTTCTTTAAAACTCAAAAAAACAAGACAGAATTCCCCCATACCCACCAAACAAACAAAATATCCATAAAAAAACATCAAACAAAATATCCCAAACCATACCCGCAATGCACTGCATAGTTTTCATTATCAATTAGAACTTGATAAAAGTTTTGCATAGATCTCATTAGACTGAGTCTCTCACGCTTAGGGACTTGCCCTTGCAATAAGGAAAGGGAGTCATATATGAAAACAGTAATGAAAATATGTAGCTTTTGGAATTAACCAAACTAACATCAGAACCTCTAGCCACAACTGGTCTTATTTGTTTTTTAAACAAACCATGATGGCCTCTTTCTTTTCACATCCTCTAGCATATTCTTGAAAGTATTTCTGAACAATACAAGAAATAAGAAACTTTTTTATTTCTTTACGCATACTGCCAATAACCTAATTTGGAGTAAGACCAGTAACTCCATGAAACCACAGGGCTGTCTCAGCAATAACCAGGATCAAGATCCCAATACAACAGTGTTTGCCTTGCCTAAGACACAGAGCTTCACAAAACTCAGTGTCTCCATTTTTGGCTAAATCGGAGGGGAAACAATATATTTTTGCATGAGGAACCCAACAGTAACTCCAGCCAAAAGAAGAATTCCTTGAAATAAATGAGCAGTTAAGCACGTGAAATTCAATTCATCATTGGACAGATTTGACAAAAAGTGAAGAGTAACCGAGCAACAGATCCTTTCATGAAGGCCACAATCAATATTAGAATATTTCTAGTCTTATTATCAGGCCACTGCCAACAAAAACCATTACCAATACTTCTCTCATTCTTGTGCTGATGCAACACTTACCTGACATAGCACACTAGATAAGGAAGATTGACTTCCCACTACTGTGCAGTGATAGTTCTCTGACAGTTTAACCCCCTAAACCTAATAGCCAGGGCATGAGACCAGCACTAATGTATATGACTATGTCATTAGAGATTATCAAACCTTATACACAAGGTGACAAAGTCAAGATTACACTCATAAACATAAACTGATACTTCTTAAACCAAATATTTTGTCCTGAAAGATGAAGAGGGTGTCTATTCAATGCATTTTTCTGTACAATTTCACATGATTTTCTCCTTTCCAAAAATATTTCAAGAGCAACATATATATTGAACATTGGATCAAGTTTCTTTTTTGAAAGTAAAATCACGCAAAACTAAGAATACCCCTCATTATCTATCAACAGTGTTTGAAATGGAAGGCTTCAGCAGATACACAGTGAGAAATCTTACTAATATCTAGTAAGAGAAGACAATTTCAGGATAGGAGTAATGAGCTCCTAGACTTGGTGATGGACTGTAGAAATAATTAGTCTGTAATAGTTTATCACATGGGAGCAGACAGAATCATGCCCCTGCTTTCATTAAAGTGCATGAGAATGGTGCTGCTGGTGTTACATGCTAAATCTTGGGGATAATATAAAGAAGCATAGCTATACTCCTTCCTTCCTTTCTCCTTCCCTCCCTCCATCAGCTTAGGGTGCTGCAGTTAAACACAGTGCTAGGAAAGAAGAGAATAAGACACTGAACTAGATTCTTGTCGTGGGAAAAGAAGAAGAGTATGAAGCCAATTTCCACCTGACAGAGACAACAGGGGCCACATGCCATGTCTTGAAGAGAATCAGGCCTGACTCTGCTCTGTAGAACATTCTTTAGAATGTCTTTTCTTTACTAACACAGAGGCAAAGTTCATTAGACTTCAAGGCAAAATGAAAGACTATTTTCAGAGACTTTTTTTCGTGGAACTCACAACATAAATACGAGTTGAGTATTTTTAATTAAAAAAAATAGTTTTATCTAACCTCAAGGAAAAAAGTAACCAATTATAAAATGTGCTCATGGGATGCAAATGAGAGCACATGTAATTTATAATAAAAACACAAAATCAACACTAGCATCTGTATAGTAGCAGAACTCTAACAAGATAACAACATGATAACCTCAGCTACTCTATAATGCAGATCGTTTTTTTTCTTAATACAGGTAAAAGTAATTTGATAACAGAGACACGGACTTTGACAAAGTTACACCAACTGGTGGCACCTCTTATGGATGTCTCATTTTACGAATCACTATGTACATATTAAGGTATTCTCACAAGGTGACTTAAAACGTATGGCAGCTTTTAAAAGGCAAATAGCGAGATGGTTTCAAATCTTTTAATCTAATACTTATATTTCAATGCCACAGTTTGAAACCAAGCTTTCACTGACTTTTTTTCCTGGCAACAAAGCCAGCCTAATGAGCTCCCACCCTGCTCCCTCAGTTGTGCTATTACAACTTTTCACAGGACTATGACGTGAACCAGTGCAGGTTAAAAATCACCTGACCCACTAAGAGTTTTACCGGCACAACTGGGAAGTCAGAAAATCTGTGGCCTGAACAACCGAAGTTGCAGTAAGGGGGAATGGATTTGGTTACCAGAGGTGTGCAGGAATTGCTCAAATGGTCTCCATTGCCAAAGGAAATGTCTACATCCATTTTGAGAGTACAACCAGCTTCCAAGTTTTTAGCTTCTTTAACTACATTAACATAGAAAATGCATTTCAGCAATCCTGCTAGCAGTTGCTCTTAAGGCCAAAACCAACAGTGAATCCTTCCCCCACTCCCCCCAAATACTCCCCAGAGGAGGTGCAGATGCCAGTAAAAGAAAAGTAAACCTACTGACAACAGACTTTATCTTCCTCATTTTTTAATATGTATAAACATTTACATGCATTCATACACCTGTCTCCTTAAACGTAGTCCATGCATCTCAGAAGTCCAAAACTCCAATTAAATGTTATAGGAATATAATAAAGTGTTTAAATAATTGCTCTGTCAAAATCATGAACAAGTTATTTAAAACATTTTTAAAAACATTGGACCACATCAAGATATCACTTTAAAAGGCAACTGCCCAGCAAAATCTAAGGCTAGTCATAAAAGTTCATTAGGCACACACAGATAATTAAAAAAACTGCAAAGACACAAGTCCATGGTACACTATTATAGTTACTAGATCAGCACTGAACTAAAAACCTGATACACGACAGAAAATCAAATTAAACTCATTGCACCAAAGAGAATTAAGCTTCTGATGAAATAAGTGTTTTAAAAGCATGAGTTTGGACATCTTTAGTTATCATGGCAATTACATTTAAAGATACCTAAGTTCATTAAAAGCCAGTTGTATTTATAACCTTTTTTTTTTTTTACTGCTAGGATTTAAAAGCACTTACAAAGAAACAACAAAAGTGATACAAACATCAGTAAATGTAACAAGAGTGTAAGAGCTGTAGTGGAAACAGCACAAAGTGATCTACAGAAGCGCACCTTAAAGATGCACAGAAATCAATACTACAGACAGTCACGGAAACACAGCTACAATACCATTAAGAGTTACTGAAAACCCATTTATCACTGTAGACGCAATTCACCTGTCCCCCTCTTACGGTCAAGTGAGCTTTCCAATACTCAATACTTCTTTACATTGGCTATAAATAACCCAAACCAAATCACTAGTAAGAATTTGGTAGTGAGCTTAAAGAGTGAGCACATTAACCAGAAAGTTCTCGGATTGGCCTTGTTTATCATCTTTTCATAACAGTATTATCTGAGAATAATTCAAACTTTTTTTTTTCTCCACTTTAATAGCTGCCCTTCAAATGAACAGGGAAGTTATATTATTTACAAGTCAGACCACACTGTGAGCACCCACGTTGTATTTCTCAGACGACTTCCCACACAGGCACCCAACTCTGCAACGTGTTAGCTGTCAAAGAGCGTGCCATCCACAGCTTCACCAGGACTGCGGGCAAATGCATTTCTATTGGGCGCTGCGTTTGTTTGAGCAGCAGAGAAACGATGACCAAGCTCAAACCGAACCTGAAAGTTTTAAACAGCCGAAGGGCGAGCCAGCTTCCCTCCAGACCAAGCCAGGGCAGCCAACGCCACC